TAGGAACCCCAATTAAACTCGATTGGTTTGAACGATTTTTTTAACTAGCAACTCATCCTCGCTCTGTTCGGGTTCGTCCCTAGTTACGTTTTACGTTTAGTATAGACTTCTCAGAGATGAGATATTTTCCTGCATTAAAAAGTATCCTATATGTTGACCCGGATAACCAGCTATCATCATATCAAATTTCATCAAAAATCTGTCCAACGGTTCGGTCCAGTCCAGCACAGCACACAGTACACAGCACACAGCACACAGCACAAAGCACAAAACACACAACACACTGCACATAGAACACAGCACATAGCACATAGCACACGGCACAGTCTTTCACAAAATACGTGAAGAGCCCACTTTTTGTCTTGGTGAGAGGCCGATATTATAAAATAACAAAAATATGCTTCTTTGAGTTATTCCATTATGGGACATTCCTTTTTAGATATAATGAGTTCATCACAAACGTAACAAAAACGGTCAGGATTTACTTCACTTCACACAACCTTTTTGACATTTTAAAAACAAATATTCATTAAATTAAACAGTACGTTGCATCAACATTTTGCAATGAATTTAAAACCAACTTGTGGGTAGCTAGAAAATAAAATGTGATGATAACTTTAGTTTTTGACGTGATACAGTTAAAACATTGATGTTCGCGTTTAGTTATTGTAACTGAATAAAATAATATAAAATTCTCTGGAAGGACATTTTTTTTTGTAAACTAGTATAATTATTATTATTCTTCATTTTATTTCGGTCAACTTTAGGAACAATTTCTGAGTTGTAATACCTGTTGTAATATACGGATTACAATACTGGGTATATAGATGTGGCTAAAATAAACAAAACTAGGTTTTATTTATTAAGGAACGTGGTATGGACACGTGGTATGGATATGTGATATGTATTAGTCGTTAACGGGTGTTAGGTATAATTATAACGGTATGGAGGTAAAATATGTGTGTAAAGGGCGTAACTACGTGGACGACGGGCAATAGAATATAATATTTTACTATTTTATAACATAAAATTATATTTTGTAATAGATTGTAAGAATTGCTAAAGTTACTAGTGATGTTAATGTTCAATGTTGACTAACGTGACAATTAACGTAACGCCTCTAGCACCAATTACATCAAGAGAGGAATTTCTGAGATTTTCTCTCACAAAATTAAATGTAAAGAAAATGTCAAGCTTCAAAATGAATTACATCTATATTAATATAATAAAGAGGTAAAGTTTGTGAATTGAGTTTGTGAGTTTGTGACGTTGTAGGGAGTAATCTCTAGATTTACTGAAATGATTTAGATGAAATTTCGTAAGAAGATAGGTTGACACCTTGGGAAGAACATAGGATACTTTTTATCCTGGAAATCATCCCTTAAGGGGGTGAAAATTGGGATGAAAGTTTTAATGGGGATTAAACCAAGGGATGAACCCGAGCGAAGCGAGGGTGAATCACTAGTGTATTATATTATTGTGTCCTATAATTGTATACATAGTTGCTATTTTTAAAAGAGCAATATTTTAAGGTTCTACTCAGAAGAACTACCTTCCGCCAGTCTTTGTAAAAATTGACTGTTGAATTATTCCTAAAACACTATTTTATGTAATTTCAAATAACATAACCTTACTGCTTACGCTGTAGTTGGAATTTGGATGCGTTTTTTGGGTATGTAATATTTTTACCAATAATAAACCTGAGATTCTTTAATGAAAATATAAATACATATCTTTAATCTATACATTAAATATTTCTTTATTCTTTTCATTAAATATGTTTTGGAAAATCTTATTAAAATAGTCATTATTATCGATACAGAGGCCGAATCTATAGTTTTTGGATTTTTTGTCTGTCAGTCTGTTTGTCTGGGAACGCATCACGAGAAAACTACTGGACAGAATTTGATGAAATTTGGTATGATGATAGCTGGTTATCCGGGTCAACATAACGGATACTTTTTACTGCGGGAAAATATATACTAACCATTACCGTAAAATTTATACTGTTAAAACGTACCTAGGTACGAACCGGAGCGAAGTCGAGTCGAGTCATATAAATACAAAGAAATCCACCGCAAAGAATGGAATAATTATTTAGATTTTTGTAAATATTTTTATTTAATTACAGACGAACAAATATTTCCAAAAAAATAATTTGCTTTAATAACTGTCACTTTGATTTTGTGGTGGGTACAAATCCTTCGCGATTCATGACTCAATAGGTATTTTATATATGTAGTTTTGATAAATTTTTACGTTTTATATAGACTTTTTATGTACCGTACAAATGAAAGAATTAAATGTTTGAACTCATTTTATTAATTTTAATTACATCTTTGGTAAGTACAATGGCTTAGGGTTCTGTGGCCCCAGGAGAGTTGGTTCCTTGGTACATTTCATCATCATCATCAGTTACAATTAAAACTGTAATCTAATTAAAAGAAAGAAATCGAAGTTATTTTCTTAATAAATAATTAATTACTACAATAGTACAAAAAATCTATACTATAACAAATTTCCATGCTCCTTAGGTGTTTTGTACAATTCCTGAAAACTAAAATTATACTTAAATTTATATCCTTAAAAATGCTAATTACTTATGACTTATGTGTGTAATATCAGACTCAAATAATTTGAATGCAATAATTTTAATATTGTTCATAGCTTTCGTAATCCTTTCAGCGGCGGGTGATTTCAAAGCCAGAAAATATTGTTACTATTATTTTTTTTGTAATTCCAATGTTCAAGCAACGAGTACAAAAAATAAAGTATTATTGGGCATTTATTTTGAGACATATATTGGAGTTCATACTAATATTATATATTATAAATGTGAAAGTGTGTTTGTTTTTCTTTCACGTCGAAACGGCTTGGCGGATTGGCGTGATTATTTGTGTGGAGATAGAAAGGGCTGGAGAGTGACATAGGTTACTTTTTACCGCGGGAGATTATCTCTTTTCCATGGGAAAACACGTGATAATACAATCCAAAAAAATATTTATGATCAGAATTACTTGAAACTTGGTATAAATGCTCTTCAATAAATTAAATGCGTGTTTTAGCATTTTTCGAAATTCATGTCATAACCCTTATGGGAAATAGCGGAATAATCCTCGGAGTTCTAATAATAATTAATTTCATCGTCTATGAATAAATCGTATAGTACGTCTTTATTTACGCCTCCCTTTGACTCAGACTTGAGTCCTACACATATTTTAGAAATAATTTTACGAAATTTACATTGTACACACTACCCAATAATAATATTTTTAATAGTATTTTTTCTTACATTGAACAATTTGTTATAAAAACGTTATTTCTACATTCAACCTCAAATAATGATACTTTAACATTCGTATAATAATCTAAGCAAATAATCGTAAGCTTTTTAATGGTTTAGTAAATTTGATTACTTCCTAAAAACTTACAGTCAAAAATTGTTTATTGTATATGTGAATCAATAAATTGTCATCAAAGCTATGAATTAATAATGCCATTATTGAGCATCGTACATGTGCAGTACTTTTCGTCAATATCAAGATTAAATGTCCTGGAGTTTAGATAATATTATGTCATTTTACAATCGATAAAGAATAGAAATCCACTAAATATATAGGTATAAACTAGAATAATGTATTATTATGACAATAATTAAATTTGTCATTTCAATACAATTGTTATATTTTTTAATGATTATAGAATGACATCTCGTCTAAGCCCCCTGAAGTGCGGGTTTAAGACAGCTTATTCCTATAATGCCATGAACAGAAAAAGAAAATATTTTTTTTAAAACTCAACGAAACCAAAGTGTTGCAAAGTAAAGTTTTATAAAAAACAATATTTTTTCAAGCTTTTCTTTTATTTGATATTAAAAAAACAGGCTACCGAATATGGCAAGTCGTAAGTACGTGTAAGTATATAATAATTGTTCGCGATAAATTATGAATTAGATAATTGGTGGGTTTCTATGCTAATTTATGGCAGCACCATAATTTTAAGTATTTTTACATGCCTTTAACCTTTCATGGCATTCAAATATCACATAACCAAGTTATATACTTAGTATAAGTTGACAAACTAATAGTATCTTTAATGAGTATTTTTCTTTTCTTCTTTGATTAACAATTTCAATTTTTTGCCATCCCATAATTGAGATTTTTTTTACACAAAATCTAGATTAAATTGAATTATTTAAATATAACATACATTAAAAATACAAATATTACTCATTCTTTCTTTGGTTATACATTTAGACTACTGCTACTCTATACACGATGAGATTGACGATATTTCCAAGGATTTACTTAGACCTATTTACACAATTCGATTGCTTTCACATATTATTGTATTTATCTCCTTGCCGTCTTTATTGCTTAAATTCAATTAAACATCTTATAATATAAATATTCCCTATAACGCAGATTTGTGAAGCATTTTTTAAAATACTGTATATATTTTAGTTTAATATACACATAATAGTGTAATTTGCATATATAATATAATAATTAAAAATATAATACGTTTTGAGGCTGTAGATATTTTAGGTTGCGTTTATTTCTATACATTTTCTATATTTTTTGGTAGAGCTGTCTTGACTAATGTATATATGTACATACAATAGGAATTAATATAAATAACAGGGGAATGTATTTGCAATTAATCTTTGGGCCCTAATTTACACTCGCTCATACTTGCCTTCTTCAGTTTATATCTACTATACACAAGATTATCACTGCACATTTGGTATACATTTAATTCCAACCCCGAACCAGTGTGTCAATATTATTAAACTAAATCTACAACAATAAATACTAGGATTTAGCTACAACAAATATCCTATATAATAAACTATAGTACAAATATCATCTCTCGTACACCACTTTTGAAATTTTAATGCTCATTTATACAAAACGCAGTACTCGATTTTAACGTGATATTTACATTTTATTAAAATTATTCATTAATAAACTAAGCTTACATTCTAAATGCATTAGCTATGATGGATTTTTATTTTTATTCCTAAGCGATAGAGACGCCTTAGTTCGTCGTCTGAATAAGTTCTTATAAGCTTTTCTGTACTCATTCGACATTACAACGTAAATAATAGGGTTGATACTAGACGCCAAATATAACAAGAGGTACGCTGCAATGTTGGAAGCTGGATTTGGCGTTATCTCATGCAGAACTTTGGTTATAGTTATAGGTAGATGGCACAAGCAAAAAGACGTCATTATAGCCATAATCATTGTTCCCAGTCTCCTGTCTTTTCGAGTTGGTAATGAAAGCTTGAGAAGTGCCATAGACTTTCGTAATGCGGTTCTTCGTAGTCTGGAGGGCTCTTGTTTGGGGTCGTCTGAATTTTGGATGGTTTCGTCTCTCGTTTCAAGTTTAAATGTAGTGCATCGCTGCAATCTTGGGCTTTGATCACCTAAACGAGATTCATTTCGTTCTGTGTTATAGCTGCTACTGCAGTCAGCAGTTATTCGCGCGGTCATTGATGTGGAGGTTTCTGTTGACGACAATTCTTCCACATTTTGCACTCTATGTGGTGTGTTCATTGACCTTTTTGTTGCTTTTCTGACTATAAAAAATATTCGGGCATAACAAATTATTATAGCCACACACGGCAATGTGAACGCTGTAAGAAATAGAACTTTTTTTGGTGATCTATTTTTTTCATCTGGAAGTATTGAACACGATCCAATACTGACGTCTAATCCAAATTGCCCCCATTTCCGGAACCAAGTCGGTATCATTATAGCAAATGATATTGCCCATATTATAATAAGCATGATGGCTATATTACGCGTCTTGTATAATCTGTCAAAAGAAAATACTATTTGATTAGGTAGTCAATTCTATTATTTGAAAGGGTTTACTTATATCTATCTTTTATTAATATAAGGACTATCTATATTATATTCAATTATATTATATTAAATTTCCAGCTTAAAAAGTGGTATGTATTATGGAAATATAAATAATATAAAGTGTTTAATTTAGTAATCTATTAATGAAAATTTGCGGTTTTCGAATGATTGGGTCGCACTTCAAAATCCTAAAATCTACCAAACTTTTATATTTATCATATCTAGAATACTATAATTTGATCTTACTTGGGATAAAGTCTTGGGTGTGCTATCATAACATATCTATTGATTGTTATCGCCAAGACAGTGAACAAAGATGCTGCAACCAGGGCATATCGGGCCAGCGGGAACATTCGACACAGGGTACCGCCGTGGATCCAAGATTTGTGCCAGAAGGTTGAAGCGGCGAGTGGCAGATTGAAGCAGCAGAACAGCAAGTCAGTGCAGGATAAACCCATTATAAAAATGGCTGTTGCGTTCCTCACCTGTTAATAAACAACATTTTGTTAATATCTGTATAGCTATGTAAATAAAAAAGTTTATGTGTGTTTGTGCAATGTAGTCAATCTGAAAAAGATTTTCAACCATTGCTTTAAAAGTTGATATAGAGGCCGAATCTATAGGTTTAAGTGTTTTTACGTAGAGACACAGTAATGTGTATATATATATATATATATATATATATACCTGTGTTATAAAACTAAGCATGAAGGTAAACAAAAATGGTAGAGTTCACATTTATATTGAGTTACCGCGTGTTAGTACAAATCCCTTTAATATTTATTTTCTTATAAACTTTTTTAAATTAAGTATAAAAATATTTATATTATAGACTATATATATATATATATATATATATATATATATATATATATATATATATATAGTCTTTGTAGATTAATTAAAATAATATTTTTCAACTACAAAAATAATCATTAGGTAGGGACTCTTCCTAGTTTTTAGTATACAAAAAAAATAGAAAAAAATTTTTTTTTTTATACGTAGATAAATATTAATTTTTAAATGAAATAGCTAACGAATTTTATTGTAAAATAATAAAATTTAAAAGGGATAAAAATTAACTAATGCTTACAAAATAAAATATAATTTTAGGCATTACCTATATTTCGTATTCATAATTGCTCCTTAAAAATTTATTTACGATTAATATTCCCTCCACGACCGCGGACACGCCGGCGTGTCAGTTAACAATAGATTTCTTAGAATTTTTATTAATTAATTAGAAATTTACCTGGAGGTGATATAGAAGTTTCCCTTATTCTCTGTATAAAGTAAACATACTATGGCAACATCGGAAAGAGTAGCATAATCAATAAAAATATTCATTGATTTCCTAATGCGTCAAATTCTATAGTTTAGTACTAGTATAGTATTATGTGGTCTGTGGTTTAGCTTTACTAAAATACTTTCAGTGATGCTTAAACAATGCCTAGTTATGTCTACATAATTTCAAGAGTAACTTAATTGACATGAATTTCGTACGGTTAAATGAAACTTTTGAGCTGAAAATGGTCTACGTATGTTTAACTTCAATATTAGACTTGCTGATACATATATACATATATTGAAAGTGTAACTGATCGCTGTCTGTAATTTAAGATATTTGAGAAAAACTATTATTGGGGGTCTTTATTAACGCAATAGAACCCAAACCAATGATTTTCAGGGTTTTTGTGTTTAGTTGTCCGTGCGTTTTTGAGCGTTAATCTCAAAAACGGCTTAACCGATTTGGTTGTGGGCCAGTTTCACCTACCATTTAGCATTTATTTTATTTCAATCGGTTCATAAATAAAAAAAGTTATGTCAATCTAATTTATTGTAAACATAAATGCAGATGACTGTTTAAAGTATGTCAAGTATATGTCCAATATTAGTATGAAAAATAAAGAAAATAAATCTAATCTATATAAAAACAAATCAATTTATATTTTTAAAATATTAGTACAATAATTAACATAATATATTTTTTCAATTATAATAATAATGCCCTCCTGACCAATTTCAACCACAGCCGATCTCATTGAGACCAGCCATATCCGCAAAATTATACAAATATGAAACGAAAAAAAAAAATGTTTCTTGCGTATGTCATATAAAATATTGGAACAAAAGTTCTTATAAACAGGATTGTAATCTGTTATGAACGTACAGTACGAGTCACTTCCGAATACATCAGCAGGAGATAAGATAAGCGTATACTATTTCCTTCCTTGTTTAACTTGTTTTCAGTATTTATAAGAGATTATCTATACATATAATAAAATTGTAACGAAGCCGAATCTGTACATTAAATATTTTTTGGAAAATCTTATTGAAATAGACATTATTATCGATATAGAGGCCGAATCTATAGTATTTAGAATTTTCGTCTGGCTATCTGTCTGTTACCGCATCACGGAAAACCCACTGAAGGGATTTTCATTAAATTTGGTATAGTCATTAGCTGGTTATCGGGGTCAACATATAAAAATTCAACAACTGCATTGTAAGAGTATACTAATATGTAAAACCTAAGAATTTGGATTTTTGGTAATCTGAACGCGGGCGGAGCCGCGGGCAATGCTAGTGTACAATAAGTTTCTTCCTATGGATACACACATACTCGTATATTATATATACAAGTATATTATTAAAGGTACAAAATAAATAAATAGTAAATATTTTGTGACATTAACACAGCACCATCTTTTTCCATGGTAAGCTATGAGGCTTGTGTTATGGATACCAGATAGTTGATACATTACACATATACAACTTTAAATACATACATATTATAAATATAATCATCCATGACTGGATTACAAACATTCATGCTCATCACACAAATGAATGCCCCCAGCGGGACTCGAACTCCCGACCGCTGGCACAGCTGTCACTACAAACTGACTCAAACGTGTCGTCAAATGTAATGTATGTAATTTATTTATGTATCTATACTATGCTTAATGTAGGTACTAGGTAGATATATTTATTTATTAATAAAAGAATTTACATAAGTTTTGTAATCATACAATCTTGATATAATTTTTATATAGAAAAATACTTGTTTATTTCTTTCTTTAATAAAACCATCTTTTGATAAAAGAAATAGTTGTCAGGACATTTATGAAAAGCTCTAATAAATCAAAAGTGTCACAATATTGTTATAAACTCTGGGCGGACAACGGCGTATTGATGCTCGACTGAATTTATGTTATCTCTTGTATTACTTCTACTATACATAGATATTTTAATTTATTTGGAGCACAAAGACCTTGTAATTTAGCCGAAAGCAATCTCAATTTTTTTAATTTATTACTAATATAATATTATGTTATTATTAAACTTATCAAGTATGAATATTTTTAATATATTTGTGAGAACAGCTTGCTACTACCTATTTCTTATAATATATTTAATTTATAAGTATTTAGCTTTAACATAAATAAAAAACCAGCCAAGTGCGAGTCGGACTCGCGCACTAAGGGTTCCGTACCCAATATCTATAATATCTAGCAAAAACGAGCAAAACAAAAAAAAAAACACGTTCGTTGTATAGGAGCCCCTTAAATATTTGTTTTATTTTAATTTATTTATTTTTAAAGTGAATATATAACTAAATATTCTATCAATATTTCAAGCGTCTACCTGTTGCCGTTATCAATATCGAGCAAAAACGAGCAAAAAATCAGGTTTGTTGTATGGGATCCCCTTGAATATTATTATTTTTTCCATTTTTTAAATATATTTTGTTGTTATAACGGCAACATAAATACTTCATCTGCAAAAATATCAACTGTCTAACTATCACGGTTCATGAGATACAGCCTGGTGACAGACGGACAGACGGACAGACAGCGGAGTCTTAGCTATAGTCTTTTTAATAGGTACGGAACCCTAAAAAATATATAAGTATAAAACGTAGCATGTTATGTACATACATGTTGATTTTACATTTTGAAGTCACGTTTAATAAAAAAAACTCTAAATCATTAGCGTAATACTACTTTCATTATCGTGTATATAAACCGCAAAACCATTGTCACAATCGAGTATTGGTTGAGTGCATAATCCATGCTTCCATACTTAATATTATGAATGTGAAAGTATGTTTGTTTGTTTGTTTGTTTGTTTGTTTGTTTGTTTGTTTGTTTGTTTGTTTGTTTGTCTATCCTACTTTCCCGTCGAAACAGAGTGACGGATTGACGTGATTTTTTGTGTGGATATAGTTGGAGGGCTGAAGAGTTGACATACCTAGGCTACTTTTTACCGCGGCGGATTATCTAATTCCCACGGGAAAATACGTTAATTGAAACTGAATAAAGTGAACTTGAAATACTTGAAACTTGGTATTAATGCTCTTCAATACAATTTAATAAATACGTGGTTTAGTATTTTTCGAAATTCATTCCATATGGAGGTAAAATATGGGATGAAAGTTTTTTGTAGCTTTAGCGCGAGCGAAGCTGCGGGTCCTGCTAGTAGATTATATATGATTATAAACAGTCAAGTGATTATAGAAATTAGTTTTGTGAAATTACTTTCATTATTCATGAAACTAATTTTAGATATAACTACAGCAGGCAGAAAATGGATATAATATTAGTAAATAATAATTATAAATGAGAACAATAATATTCTGGAATTAAAACTTTGATACAAATAACGTGTATATAATATTTGTATACTAATATCACTCGAGTTTATTATAACCCTGTAATTTAAATTGTAAGGATGTTGGTTAAAATGTTTTATAATTGTTAAAGTTTCTGAATATATTGAAAATAAATCGAGATTAAAAAAACATTTTTAGCTGGTTGACGTTGGTAACGTCAAATAGTGTTAGGTTAAAAAGCGTATTATATAATTTAAAGCATCAATGTCAAGTTCACAAGCGCATTAAACATTATTCTAAAACTAGTATATAAACTCCCTTCAAAGGAAGAGAGATTTCAAATGTGTGAAATCTAGTTTCGTGGAGTGGAAAAATGACGAAGAAAATTGGGTTATCATCAGGCGCCGAACCCACTTTGACACTCCTAGCACGTTCTTACTTCTTATAATATGTTACAACGACATGTTCCTTATTGGATTGTACTATTGTGTTCTATTATAAGATATACTAATATACAGTATTACTTTTACTAAATTTATTTGAATACTAGCGACTCACCCTCGCTCCGCTCGGGTTCGTCCCCTATAGTAGGTACGTTTTAACGGTTAGTGTAGTTTTCTCAGAGTTCATTTCATGCAGTAAAAAGTATTCTATATGTTGACCAGGGTAAACAGCTATCATGATACCAAATTTGATTAAAATCTGTCCAGTGGTTTTCTCGTCATGCTTTCCCAGACAGACAGCCAGACAAAAATTCTAAAAACTATAGATTCGGCCTCTGTGTTGATAACAATGACTATTTCAATTTCAATAAGATTTTTCAAAAAATATTGAATGTACAGGTTCGACTCAGTTAGAATTTTATTATATATGTATAAATGACATTTGTATTGTATTCGAATTCTACACGAGATAAGTAAATTCCTACACGATTTAACTTAGTCTCTTATATAATCCCCCACACAATATGTATGTGTGTTTTTAAGAATATAAAAATTATATACTCATTTTTAAGTAATAATTTAGTGCTAGTATTCAACAAATAATTGAAGCTTTCATAGTTTAAATCCTTGTATATATCATTAATTGGGGCAAAGTGAAATAGCATTAATAGGTAAAATTCTCGCAATTGTGTATCGTTTGCAAGCCAGAATGGAGCACAAATGAGAAAAACCAAATACATTATCTGGCATTATTTTCAACTGGCGACCCTTGCTTCTCTCGGGTTCGTCACTAGGATGATTCCCTATACAAACTTTCATCCCCGTTTTCACCCCCTTAAGGAATAATTGTAGGAATAAAAAATATCATATGTCCTTCCTAGGGTCTCAAATTATCTTCTTACCAAATTTCATCTAAATTGATCCAGTAGTTTTTGAGTTTATTCCTTACAAACATGCAAAAATACAAATCTTTCCTGTTTATAATAGTAGTGTAGATATTGTAGATAATAAAATAAAATAAAAAAACTTATGTAGTTTATATAGATAAATAACACATTACTATATTCAAAATATTCCCTAAACGGTGAATCAATGTAATAGTGAAACAAATAGAAAACACGGCGGAGGCAGATAAATTGACTATAAAAATATATAGCTACAATATATTTTACGATAAGCCTGTTAGAACAGAATACATCTCCATTGTCACAGATAAGTTTGAAAAAAAAGTAAGATTTATTCAGGAATCGTATTAGTATGTATTGATTTCCTCTAACAAAACACAGTTATACAGCGTGACATATTAGGTATGTACAATGAATGTGCACTGATATAAATACAAAATAATGTTCATTCTAATAAGTAGGTACTAGGCATATTACACAGCAAAATTATAATGAAGTCAGCATTGTACACTTTCGATTTATTTAAATAGCTTTTTAATAGAACTGTTATAAGTAAAATAATTTCATGTTTTGTATCTGTGATGTTTTTGTATTTGCATTATGAAAATAGTTAATTAGGTAAATATTAAGTATAATAAATAATAATTAATGTTTCATAAATAATGAATAAACAATAAAAAAAAATGAAAAGAATAATTGGTAAAACCCTACAACTTAATCACATATCTAATCGATAGTGATGGTGTAAAGGTGCTCTTATAAAGCAAGGTCTCATGTAAAGAGAGGCCTATGTCTAGTGGTTGTGGATTTCATTGGTTTCAAAGTACAGGAAGAGACGCAGGTGACAACTAGTTTATACTATAAAACATGCTACCATACTACATCTTATCGAGATTACGTCATAAATTGAGTCATATTCACTAAGAACTGTTACAAAACTTTCTTATAAGAATGACTTATCTTACAGAAGTGGTTTACGTATTACTTGCGTGCGTCATATTGTAAACATCGCACATATAATGGAATATTATAAGCGCGAACAAAATTACAGTTTATTTATTTTTCATACTTTTACCACATCTAATTTTCACCGATTCTGTTTGCACTTTCTAGAGTTTATTATTGTTATCGATATCAGTCTTTAGAATTAATTTTGAAGTCGAAATTGAATTATGCATTATCTCCAGCAAACACTCTTTCTACTCACATTTAGAAACTTTCGTATTTGTAATATTAGTTTGATATTGTTTCTACGAGTTTATAATAACAAATTTGATCACAATATATACTAAACCTTTATAAGGAAAATATATACATATATTTAATTATGAATTTAACAGTATATAGCATTCAGGTTAGTCGTTGGATTTACCAAGTTGGTGTTTAACGTCATTTGTTAACCTTGTTAGCCACATAAAAACGACTTATTATTTTCAATATTTTTATTTAAACCTAACAACTATATAAAATTGTATAAGCCTGAAATTGATTAACTGATAATGTATCCTTCCCAAACTCATAACTTAGTTTGTAAGTAATTTAATTACAAGCAATTTAAAGTACATAGGTACTTTAAGTTACTTTTTAAATTTGTTTTCATATAATAGGTATATCATGACAGCTGATTTTAAAATGAATTTGTGTTTAAAACAATGGGTATAAATGTTGTTACAATTTCCTGTCAATTCTAAAGTTTATTTAATATTTAAAATGTATTTATTTGTGAATAAACAGGTAATTATTGATTTTATATACATTGCTATGTATTGGGCTCGTTGGCGTCTGGCAGTATTTATACTATATCTACTCACTCATATTATACATATGTCATCTCAATGATTATTCGCCCAAACGACCAATTCACCGAAAGAGTTTTTAATACAGAATTATTGACTTTTAAATGTCAATTATACTGATGTTAAATATATATTTTTCTTTAAAGTTTTGTTTATAAAATAGAAGAAAATATCTCTCTACTGTATAGTACGATAAGTTATATATAAGTCGTTTGAACAAATATGTACTAAAGCGACGGTATAGTTGCTGTTAAAAAAATACTTGTAATGTAGCGTTAACTACTAAGTAGACCCACTAGCATTTTGCTTCTTCGCTAAACCTAATTTGTTGTAAGAAAGAAGTACAATTTAATATACAAATGAATATACAATAATAATCTAATCTTGTGTTAGTAACGGTATTTAACTGTAAAAAATAGTTTATATACAGTATCATAGAAACGATTTGTGCTGACTGTATTTAAATACATAAATAATAAATAGATATGTTCGGACTTTAACATAGAGCACCATATAGTTCCATAGTAAGCTACGAGGTTTGAGTTATGTATACCACGTAGTTGATACACTACACATACATAACTTTAAATACATACATATTATAAATATAAACACCCATGACTGGAGTATACACACAAATGAATATCCCCAGCGGGACTCGAACCCGCGACTGCTGGCACATCAAGTAGGGTCGCTACTATCTTAGCCAAACGCGTCGTCAAATTTTATCATATTATGATATTGAAATGCGACTTTTACGAGTATTAAGCCCACGCCATCCTGTCAGATGTTAGAACAATAATATGCTTATGATAATTACAATTCTATTCAATGCGCGTGTCATGCATCACGTAACGCTTGGCATAATTTTATGACGAACTAGCAATGCCCGCGGCTCCGTCCGCGTTCAGATGACCAAAAACCAAATTCTTAGGTTTTACATATTAGTATACTCTTACATTGCAGTTTTTGTATTTTTTCTCAGAAATGACACATTCTCCCGCGGTAAAAAGTATCTCATATGTTGACCCGGATAACCAGCTATCACCATACCAAATTTCATCAAAATCCCTCCAGTGGTTTTTCTGTGATGCGGTAACAGACAGACGGACAGATAGACAGACAGACAGACAAAAATTCTAAAAGCTGTAGATTCGGCCTCTGTATCGATAATAAAGTCTATTTCAATAAGATTTTCCAAAAAATATTTAATGTACAGATTCGGCTTAGTTACAATTTTATTATATGTATAGATAAAAACTTTAAAACTAAATACACGATGACGACTACATGACTATTACTAGACAGAATGGTTAATATTAAAGTTGTGTTTAGTCGCTTAGTACAAATGTTGTATTAAAAGCTACCTATTGTATATGCAAATGAGATATTAATTATATTTTTAGATTATGGAAATTATCTTGCTAATTACGTTATTCTTATCGAGCAGAATTCGTTGTACTGTAAAAACTTACAACAACGTTTGGATGGTGGGTATTGCAGAACTTGGCTAATAAGATAGAGTCGTTAGCAGACATTTAAAATAATCGTTTGATTTGTGTACAGTAATCAAACTGCAACTGACAAGTCTGTAGTGTTCATAATTAAAATACTCCATAAATATCTTATACACATGTATATAACAAGTGAAACTTACTTTTTCATAGCGTGCCAATGCCACGATGGTGATGATGTTGCCAGGTATCCCTATCATCATGAAGATAACGCAGCAAGCCGTAGCGAGTTTCATCAGCCCATCCGGATACGCTTCGAACAATTTCACTGAAGCCAGATCCGCGTCGGAAATAAAAACACTATTGTTCACAGACTCACTTATGTTTTGTAATGTACCCATCTCACTTAGTTGTTTATACGTCATACATCCACTGCTATTCCACTACTAATGAATGTTTGCTGTAAATAATGTTGATTTTTCCTGGAATGAGTTTCCCTTATGAGTCAGATTTGGTTATTCGACGGGTATCGCCAAGTTTATTGGTTTATTCAGTCTTTCACTTTGATATATTCTAATCACACAATATGGTCACCAAAGCTCAAAATTAAAGTATGATTTCAGCTACACGTGTTGCATTGAATATGTAGATAGCGGTACAAAACAAATAATATTACTACAAGGACGTCTTGGATTGGACGTCAAGGAATGTAAACATTTAACAATGTAATTGTTGTGCATTACGAAGAACTCTATTATTCTGATTTTTTTAATTAATAGAATAATTCTTAATAAAATTTTACAGTTATACCTATACAAAACTTGAAACGTTATTTAATTTTTAACAATAAATTTATGTTACTTAAAGTGGGATATCTCTACTTTACTCTTGATTACTTATCACTCCTACATATCCTTCATTTAGCACAATCACGGACGGCTCGCGACTATAACGTATTAAATATACAAAACATTGACATTCATACAAATAAATACTACCACACTAATGAGTCATGCATTTTAGGTATAAATAAGTTCAAAGTACGCTTATCGTACACTTGAAATGTCCACTTTGTAATGATTCTACAGTATTAATTCACGGATAGTTACGGCGGGCGCTTCTCGGAGACGCCATCGCCGGGCGAACGTCACGCCCGTCTTCTACACATAAGCAAATTTTTGTACGCCTGCCGATATTCACTAGACATCACGACGTAAATGATGGGATTGATGCATGTCGTCAAATATATCAGAATATACCCCGCAATATTTGCAGCCGGGTGGGACGTGAATTCTCGAAACAGTTTTGTTAAAGTTATCGGCAAATAACAGACCCAGAACGAAAGCATAATTGCCATTATCATTTTTAACAGTTTTCGATCCTTCGGTGTTAATCGTGGCGGTCTGACGGGAGCAGGGGAACGTTTCAAAGCTACGGCAGCCTGTCGCAGTCGTTTAGCCGTGTCTCCGCTATTTGGAGTTCTTGGCTTAGCATCAAGAGCACATTCATCGTCATGACCGTCTAGTGTGTCAACACCAGATGAAGATGACCGTTCTGGCCCCGGTGTTGGAGGGCAGTGTAAAATGGGCGGAGCAAGTAGAGCCTTCCTAGGAGGTGCGATGTGGTTGTAGCCATTTTCAGGTCCTGGAGATCTTTCCAATGCAGTAGACGCGGAACCCACTGCGGAATCTTCTAAGCCAGGTCTCGGCCGCCCCCGACCTGGGGCACGAGAGCGTCTTGCCGCTTCTCTAACTATGCAAAATATGCGGGCGTAGCATATGACTATAGCTAGGCAAGGTAGCATAAAGGCTCCAACGAATAAGAATTCCTTTGGCGAATGATTGTTACGATCAGGTAGTATAGAACAAGATCCGATTGAGGGATCCAAGCCAAAGCGCCCCCATTTTTCAAGCCAAGTCGCTATTAAAGCCCCAAATGAAAACGCCCACGTGCTAGCCACCATCACAGCCAAAAACTGCCTTTTGTAGAGTCTGCAATAGAAATATTTGTTAGAATTTGTCTTTCTTTTAATTCACACAAACTATACGTTAGTTATTAAAGTAAGTACACAATTAAGTTGAATAAAACAAATCTTAGTATCAACTAGAAAGAATTGAACATTGTGTTAACTTACTTAGGGTAAAGCCTCGGATGCGAGATCATAACATATCTGTTAATGGTGATAGCAAGCACAGTGAACAGTGACACAGCGACTAGTGCGTATCTCGCTAAAGGAAACATCCTGCAAAGTGTTCTCCCGTGGGACCAAGACCGTTGCCAGAACGTTGAAGCTGCTAGCGGTAGATTGAAACAGCAAAAAAGCAGGTCTGAGCAGGAGAGATTCATTATGAACACTGCCGTCGCGTTCCGCACCTGAAATATATTTTTTTTATTATTATTGAAAAATATTACATATTAATTGTATAATGTTTATTTTAAGTATTAACCTATAAGATAATGAAAAATTAAGATTTAAATTTTTACACGGAAATAATTAATTTATTGACAATAAAGACGTTCTGCAATGTCCGCCTATGAAAAGCGCGCAAATTATGTGCGGTAAATGTCAAGACCAGGGCAAATACCTAAACGATCAAATGAAATTATTATTGATCACTCAGGAATCGAACCCATAAATTGCAAACTTATGTTTAACAGAAGCCATTAAGCCATCGTGGTTTTAAGTAAATATTAATATTTTTCTAAATTAGTTTCTTTGAAATTTGTCAACATGTTCTTTGAAATTTGTCAAATTGTTTTTGGGAGTATTAACAAGAAAGACGAAAGATTGAAATCGGTCTAATGTATATTTTTGGCATATGTTTTGTATATATAGAGTTCTTGTTTACCTGTCACTCGAGAACTAGATAAGAATAAATATGTAAATAGGTCCATCTGTCAGTTTGGCACGCTTTTACGTCTACATAAATTATTACGGTCGTTTTGGTAAAAAATGATAGGGAGTGACTTTAAATAGCAATCGCATGAATATTGTATGCGCGTTGTAAATAGTGTTTGATAACTATACAAATAGTGACACGTATTTTTTCTCGATATTTTATGGATATACTAGCAGAACTTTGGCTTTATGTTATACAGTAAGCATTTACAATATATTGCTAATACAAAAATATTAAAATCGCGATTAAAAAATGGGGGGTTAGGTTAGGGAGGTAAGAGGGTGAAAAATACTTTACGACCTATTCTCATACCTACCAAATATACAAAAAAATCATTAAAATCAGTCGAGCCGTCTCGGAGTAGTGCGACCACAAACACCGTGACATGAGATATATATTATATTATATATTAGATGTACGAGTACATATAGAGTGGTTACGGAAAAAAGTTTTTTGTAGGAAAAATAAAGCAATGGCGGACCACTAGTTTCAAATATGTGTGTAAAACGAATAAATTATTTAATTTTATTTACTACCCCATTCATAATTGTATAATAAATGTCAATATTTAAAGCAGATAAAGTAACGACGGTCTCCTATCGACATACTCGTAATATAGCTATTCATTATGACTACAATGAACATTGACCTAGGCCAAGGAAGAGATATGGTTATAAATAAGCTGAATGTGCTTAGAGGGAGCATATCTAAATGATAAAGCTAATTACGTATACATTAATTAAAGATGATTGTTTTAAAAATATTCTTTCAAATATTTTATAAAATATGTAGGGCAGTGATAATTTAGTCTTTAAGTGGTTACCCATTCAAATTTTGCATAAAAGACATTTAAGTCTATCTATCTTAATCTTATATATATATAATTCTTTTGTACGTGTGTTTGTAAACCTACTCCTTCTAAAGGACTGGACCGATTTGGATGAAATTCAATGGGTTCCTGGATGGTTTAAAACACAATTGAGCCCAGTAGGTGGTGCTGCAGTCGGTGTGTCACTAAATTTTCATGAAAGACTATTTTCCAAGCAATCAATAAATTTAAATTGTTGATTAAATAAAATAAAAACAGCTGGAGCGAATTTGATAAAATTTTCTGGTAATCTTCAGATTAGCCCAGCGGGTGATACCCCAAATCAATTCATGAAAATTCACAATTTTGTTAGCGATCGGAAGTTTGCACACGGGTGAAAGCGCGGGTACTGCTAGTACCTAATAAAATTTTACCTCAGTTGAATCTGTACATCAAATAATTTTGGACAATCTAATTAAAATAATAATTAAAATCGATACAAAAGCCGAATCCATAATTTTTAGAATTTTTGTCTGTCTGTCTGTCTATTTGTCTGTCTGTGACCGCATCACGAGAAAATCACTGAACAGATTGTGATGAAATTTGGTATGATGAAAGCTGGTTATCCGGGTCAACATATAGGATACTTTTTACTGTGGGAAAATATCCCACCTCTGAGCAATGTATACTAAACGTTTAAACGTAACTAGGGATGACGAACCCGTGGGAAACGAGGATGAGTCACTAGTTGAAATAAAAATTCACTCATTTTAAGACTATAGAAAAATGAACATAGATTAAAGACATTTTTTTATTGTACTGCTTCATAAGTAAATCTGAAATTAATTAAACTGATACAAATACTTTAAATGTTTCGCTGTTGAAAATCATTTTGAACTCATTGAGAATTGCAATGAAGCTCCGTTTATTTCATTTTGCATGCTTTAACAATTCCTTTGAGAGTTAATCTTTTTGAACTTGTTGGTAAAGTTTAGTTCGCGCAGTTGTTCTCAGTGGAGTCGGAAATGCATTCAATGTACGATTGTTATTTGTATTGTATTATACCTAGTTAAAGATTTCATTATTACAATAATACATAATTGAGTTTTCGTATTTTTGTTTTATTTACAAGAGTGGAGTGGCATAACATCTATTATTTATTAAAGACTAGCGACTCACCCTCGCTCCGCTTGGGTTCGTCCCTACTTAAATTTTAACGTTTAGTATAGATTTCTCAGAGATGACAAAATTTTCCCGCAGTAAAAAGTATCCTATATTTTGACCCGGATAACCTCCAGTGGTTTTCTGTGATGCAGTAACAGACAGACAGACAAAAATTCTAAAAACTATAGATTCGGCCTCTGTATCGATTAATTAATAATGTCTATTTCAATAAGATTTCCAATAAAATATTCAATGTACATTCATTAATTGTATATCGGCGTAGTTAAAATTTTATTATATGTATAGACTAGCGACTTACGTCCCTAAGCTTGAATGATTAAGGAACGCATAAAAGTCAAATACCCAAAAAAAACTTTTTTAGTCTAGGAACTTTCACAAGCGTATACAGAATAACCCACCAGAGTTTCATTATAATCGTTTTGATAGTTTAGAAACGTATAGAGGACAAACATATAAACATTATTTTTTATTTATATGTAATACATATTTAATATTATTAATATTTAATATATAATATACTTTTGAAGATTTACAGTATGGTTTTTTGTTGGCCACTCTAACAGTTTAAATCTAAAATTAAAATACACTATTATTTAAAATATATCTACCAACTCCACCCACGAATGTTTTTGAGATTTTAATATGTATGACTTATTTTTCACAAATTTTAACACAAATGTATGTCTTTAATAAGAACATCTGTTTAGTTAATTTAAATGTATCAATAGACGATTGAAAAACGAAGTTTTTGGTTTATTTTAATGAAAATATATTTTGAAAAATTGTTGTTAAACCATAATATTTGCATTTAAAGTACAGCGTCAAAGGGAATATCGTGTGCCAGCGTGGGTTTTACTTGCCCAATTGTATTTATTGCTATAGAATACAAATAAAGTTGATATTAAACGGCTCTGGTAGCCCAGGAGTAACGCACTTGCTTGAGAAACCAAGTCAAGCGAGTTCAAATCCCGGGTCTTGCACCTCTAATATTTTAGTGTGAGAATGATTACTACTTGCCATACGGTGAAAGAAAAACCTGTACGTCTGAAAGAACCTGCTAGAAGTTTTCGAAAGAAATCTAAAGTCCTAGTGGACGGGTTTGGTACCTCCGCCTTTTTAATGGAGGGCCGTGTTCAGCATTAGGAAGATTAAAAGGGCCGAATAAATACATTATCATTTTTTATTAAAAATACTGTAACTCTTTCAAAGAGTAGAATTATCACGGACTGATAGCACTGACCCTTTTTAACTTGATAAATGCTTTAAACGCCTTTTATTATTATTTAAAAATATAGCCTAAATTTCAAAAGTGTTTATATATATAAGCCTAAAAACTTCATATATTTTAAGATAGAACTTAAGTCTTACAAATGTCGTAATAATTAGGTAAAATGTCAAATAACAAATAAAAAAGTCATAACATAACCTACCATCAGGATTTTAATACTTACATAATATTATTTAATTTTATGAGAAATGGGTATTCCTTTTTTTGTATGTATATGGAATTTAGCTTATTTGTTTTGCCATTTTCATTGTATATAGATATTATCAGCGGGACTAAACAAGAAATTATAAAAATATCTTTTACTAACAGAATATTACATTTTTCCTACAAAAGCACAACTTTATTACATTATGTAATAAATTTGTCATTAAAATATCACGTGAGCAAAGTCACGGATAAAAATTAGTATTAATTAAAACGTATAAATGAGCAATTAGCAATATTTATCACAGCGTTAATGAAATAGATCTCGTTGTTCACACGTCTAGCTAACATGAGAATTTTATTGAAGTGCACATTATACTGTACGAACAACGGGCTATTTCAAACATAAGTAAGCAAGTATAAATAAATCGTTATTATTTTTGAATTGAATCTATTACTTTTATAATTATTCTGTTTGTTATTTCGGATATATAATTATTATTTTGTAAAAAAAATCTAGTGTCTATATTACTTTGCACATAATATCAATCTCAGAAACCTTAAACATGAGAGTATCTTTCGTCTAACGTAACTCTTTTAACCATTAGGTTTATAATGTACGCTACTTATGATACTTAAGTTTTACACCCCTAGACGATCATGCGTAAAGATGGCATTATACGATACCCCATCAAGCTGTCTTTTATAATGTTATAAATTCGAAAGTGTACTTATGTCTTTGTTACGATTTTGCTGTTGACGCACAGCGTCTGAGTCGTTATCGATGATGTTTAAAGTGATAACTTGTATTTTAGAAACGAATATAATAAATGCCCTTTTACTGAGCTATTAAAGTTTCCACGTGATAAGAAAAACGTGTTGCCTGAAAATTCATTGCAAAGAATGTTAGTTTTAAGACATTTGAAGCCATTTTAAAATTACAAACTCGTGGAATAGCGAATTAAAATTTCTTTAATATACTGAAACGTCTGCTTTTTGATTATTTTTATATGTCATGATTAACTCTTTTGTTTTGGCGACTCCACGGACGAAGTCGCATCTTTTTGATAGTAGGTACAAACATAAACATCGTTGAAGTATTAGTCAATTTAATGTATCCATATATTACAAATGTTTTATCGAATAATAAATTACATTGTATATATATTATAATATATTTAGAACTTTATAAACTTAATAAATCGTTAAATTATGTTCAATACTTCATTATAATAGAATTTGGTTTTATTGAATTAATGATAACGGATGACTTATGAAGACTAGGTTTCTTAGCTTTAAGAGGGCTTGCTTCAATTATACTCTTAAATAAAAATTTACAGGCAACTTGTTTTGGTATAAAAAAATTATATTTATAATCAACTAGCTCTTAAGTGAAGGAGTGTGCGTAAAATAACAACCAACAACACCAACCAACATACACATAAGGTGTATCAATTTTCATGGTGATTGGTCGAATGTGCTGCAAAAAAAAATGTTAGCACAATATAAACCATGGTGAAGACTATACAGAGATCAGTGTTTTGGTTTTCAAATGTAAATTTTTATTTTTATTGACTCAGACAATCAACTATCATCATACCAAATTTAATCAAAACCTGTCCAGTGGTTTTCTAGTGATGTAGACAGACGGACAGACAAAAATTCTAAAAACTATAGATTCGGCCTCTGTATCGATAATAATGAGTATTTTAATAAGATTTTCCAAAAAATATTTAATGTATAGATTCGACTCAGAATTTTATTATATGTAATATATGTATTATTTTAATTAAGACTATCATTTCGGATTTTTCACGGATTTATTTTGGTTTTTCGATTTTTTGTTTACCGACGTTTCGAATGCTTTACTGTGATTGATCGCTGGAGAGACCGAAATGAGAAAAGATAGTTTTATTTAAAATGTCGAATATTCGCGTAAATCTAAGAAAGTAATATTGTATGATGTAATTTATCTATAATATCGTGTCGTAATTATTATGTAGGGAATATCATGTTGCATAATATTTGAGAGTGTAGAACATTCTTGCATCAAAGTAATAGCACACCAGGACCGTTCCCAATTTATGACAAGCTATGACAAGAATCGTTAATGGTAAATTGTTGTGAGTGGAAAAGGGACAGAACTCTTTCCAGAAAGAATTTGACGTGACTAGAACATTGTCGAATTTTCGAACACTAGAATGTTCCTTGCTTATGCATATAAAAGTTTGGCAGTTGCGGAGTTAGCAGTAATAGTGGAAAATAGTGCTCAGTGGTCGAATCAAATCCAAACTGTGCATATACCGCGAGTACTTAAAGTGCTAATAATGGCTCTCTGTAAACTTAACCAATAAAACATTTATAGTGTAATGTTTTAATTTACAATCCTAGAATCCTAGCATGTAACAATACGTACATAATACTAGTGACATCGCTTCCCTCAGGCCTTTGTACACCCGCGAGCTCTCTCACACTCTTGTAATATAAGTACTAAGGATTAACAGTAGTTTAGAGCTGTGCAGAATATTTTTACTATCTGGTATATTCTCACACAAGAATATTTTATGATTGAATAAAATTATGCCATTTAGCCCCGTTTTAAGAAAATAGTTTTCCTATTGTAACTGCCATGTCATTTATAATTTCAAATCTCGTTTATACAATGAAGAAAATCATAAAATATTATTTAAAAAAGAGATTTATTTAAAACAAAATTAGATTTTTTTTAAATAGTTTACGAAAATGTTAAGAAACCGGCCACTCAGCATCCTTTTTTTATGAAATAAGTATATGTCCAGCCTATCTAAATAGGTAGCATTTTAAATATTTCTTTTGTTATCGGTTTGATAAATTATAATATTTTAAACATGGTTATGTCGTTTTTTTCCCGCGTTATCTGTGATATGATGGACAATTATGAAATGTTTATCTTCATGGTATTTTAACTGTTGACTTGTTTGAACTTTTTTAATAGGCCTATAAATTTCCTTTTTTTATTTTATTGTCCTTTGGTATTGTCATTTTATTATTTACTAGTTAAAAGTTAAGTAACAATTTTTTTTCTAATGTTTTATTACAAATTATAATTTATTGGCATTATTTCTTGACGAAGTTGACATCAAATTGGCTCTTATATTGCAAGTATTCCGTAAAAATATTTGCAAATTAATTCCTCCGTATGTTTTAGGTGGTATCGGAGAGGTGCCGGGCGCCGGGTGCCGAGCGTTTGGCAGCCGAGAGCCTCCGGAGCCATCCAGGGTAGGGCGCTTCGCTTCGGCTTATGAATAATATATTCGTTCTAAGTGTATTGTAATATGTCATGGAATACGAATAGTGTTTCGTCCGTTGTTTCCCAGCCGATATTACTAGAGTGTCCACAATGCGCAAATGGAAGGCTGTTTAAGAGTTACGGCTTTCCTCTATCAGTACAGACCGTCCTCGTGAATTCTCCAAAGAATTCACGGAAAAATTCTATAAAGACCCTATCGAGATCTTAATTCGAAAATGCCATCAAAGTATCCCCCTTATAAAAAGGATACAGAAGAGGAGCAAGAATCTCGCTAGCTAGATCTCTGTCTAGTGCAATACAAAAGTGCATAATGTTTAATTCTAATTCAAGTTGGCAAAATTTATTTCTATTTGCATACACATTTTTGCACGTGGACAAAAATCAAAACGGCTCTTTATGTTCCAAATTAAAACAAAACAGTTCAACTGTTTTAAATGAAATGAGAACTCCAAATTCCATTTCTATACCGCGAAATTTCGATCTTGATTTTTTTTTGATAATAAGGCCGTGGATGGAGATCTTAAAAATACGCATTATTTTCTCTAGAGATACTCTTGCTCCCTTTGGTAATGATACGCTACAAGTCTTGCATGATATGCATCCTTCACCAAATTTGATTCTTTGCTCTCAAATCCTCTTCCTCATTATGCCCAATCTTTACAGATGAAAGATGAAATATGAAGATACTTTTGCAGCTATTATATCATTTACAAGTGGCTCTGCTGGCGGCATTGACGGAATTACACCACAGCATCTTAAATCTCTTGCGCCAGCGGGTGACGCCGGCAGAGTTCTCTTGGGACATTACCAAACTTTATAATTTTATGTTATCTGGAAAGGTAATTTCATCATTCACTCAATAAATTTACATACATATAGTCCAATATGATAATGTAGTTAATTAAATTAATATAGTGAGTAGAATTGGAAGAATAATCCTATATCTTATTTTATGAAATATGTCAGTTTGAATTTCTAAAGCCACTACCGCGAATATAGAAAGTAAATTCCTTAACGTATTCAGTATCTTCGTCTTGTATCCTTTACTTATTTTTATTATAACAAATTGTATATATCGGTATCAATACTTAGAAATAAAATCCAAATAGGCCTTATTATTGTTAGATGATAAAAATATTTTCTTTTATATTGTAACATATCCATACTAATATTATTAATGTGAAAGTGTGTTTGTTTGTTTGTTTGTTTGTTTGTTTGTTTGTTTGTTTGTTTGTTTGTTTGTTTGTTTGTTTGTTTGTTTGTTTCTTTCTTTGTTTCTTTGTCTTTCTTTCACGTGGAAACAGCTTAGCGGATTGGCGTGATTTTTTTGTGTGGAGATAGTTTGAGGGCTGGAGAGTGACATAGGCTACTTTTTACCGCGGGAGATTATCTTATTCCCACGGGAAAACACAATATAATACAATCCAAAAAAATATTTATGATCAGAATTGCTTGAAACTTGGTATAAGTTCTCTTCAATAAATTTAATTAAATACGTGTTTTAGCATTTTTCGAAATTCATCCCATAAGGTGGTAAAATAGCGCATGTTTATATGAAACTTGCCATTTTAGAGTTTTTATTGTAGTATTAACGCGAGCGAAGCCGCGGGTTCTGCTATTAGTATGTATATAAATGATCAAAATAACCCATCAGATGCCTTTAACCTTTATTTGATGGGTAAATTAGATAATAATTGAAATACTTACTTATCTTTTATTTACTTAGAAAAATCTTTTGTGGACTTAATAGAAAGAAAACAGAAAGTCCTTTTTCGTATAAGTTCGTTTGTAAGCATCGAGCTATGTGTGTATGAGCTTTAGGTGGGGGTACCAATACCTTTATCCGCACAGTTTGCGTAGCATTTGTTAGCGTAGAGCATTGATCATGTCGGTATATCATAGGTTATATTACATGTAGTTTTCTAAACGTTAAAAATTCCATTCAGTAGTTAAAGATTATACTTAAAATGCAAGCATTAATCCATTTTATTATAACAAAAACATAATACGCAAATTAATGTTTAATTACATTGATTGTTTGAATAAAATATGTTCGGAGTCCCTTTATAAAGCGGACGCCTAAACACAAACACGCCATTATTGGCGTGTTTGTGATTAGGCTAATATCTGTCTTTATAGATAGATATTTTCTTTTTATTTCTATTCTTACCTTCTTACATCGCGCCAAAGCGACGATCGTAATCAAATTTCCAGGGATGCCCACAAGCATGAACAACACACAGCAAACTGATGCAAAACGCAGGAGACCTTCTGGATAATCCTTGAACAGTTCAACGGCAGCCAGTTCTTCATCAGTGTTGTATGTATCCAAGCCAACACTCCACTTGTGACCGTCTACCTCACTGGCCAACGTACTTTTCGGTATACTCGGTAACAAATCACCCATTGTAAATAATCACTCATTATTTGCATAGCATAGTCTAACGGTTAGGTCGGGATGCTAGCGGGCTCCGTCCATGACTGATAAATGCCCCAGAAGTTACATCGAAGAGGGTGTGATAACGCATTTTGCCGGCTATCGGCCAGCTGGCCAGGAAGCGAGCGTATCTGTCGGTCGGCTCTACGCGATGACCTGCGATAAAACAATTTGTATTACTTTTACTAATTGTAACAGTAAATATTGTATTTGGAGTGAGACAAGATAATTTGTGTTGTGATAACAGTGATTTTTAAATGAGCTGATTAGAATTGTTTAAACAATTTTAATCAGCTCATGTTCAATGTTGATATAGTAAAAAAGTTTCACATCTATCCCACAGGAACCGTACATTTTACCGGGATAAAAAGTAGACTCTATGTATTCCAGACTATAATCTATCTGTATGCCAAATTTCATCTAGATCCGCTAAGCCGTTCAGGCGTGATTGAATAACAAACATCTATCATTCAAACTTTCCCATTTATTTAGTAGTAAGCTAACCCTAATTAAATACATAAATAAATTCCAAATAACTAAGCTATTATTTATTAGTTATCCATAATAAACTGAAACGTATGTAACAAAAATATATTTTTTTATTTTTATTACAAATAGAATAGTGAAAAATATGCTAATAAAGTAAAAAGGTAGCAAACATTTTCATAAAAAATATATAATGAAACTATGAAAAATTTCAATAAAAATTCTTCCAGCATTTTGGCGACACGTATCCGAAATGTCGAGGTACAAGTTACGTCGTTATGCAATAGCTGACGTCGTTTCCGGAACATTCAATAATTTACTGTCAACTTCCGGCATATGTTCTAAAATATACCTAAATATGTAGGTTATTAACCTTTAACATATATTCTATTTTGTAAGTTTACGCATCATGACCTACATTTCATACTATAACAGTTAGTAGTGATGGTCGCACAAAATTTTAACACATTTCATAAAAGCTAATAAGAGAATAAAAATGTGTTATTTGGTTTACATAGATACATATATTTAGCAGGGTCTCAAACTGTCTTCTTACCATTTCATCTAAATCGGTTCTGTAGATCCAAAGATTACCCCCTACAACGTCACAAACTCACAAACTTTACCTATTTATAATATTAGTATAGATAATGAATGTCATAAGAATATTTTTAATATAAGTATTATTACACCAATAATATAATTATATTATTTGACAATAATATTAATTGTTTACTTATTTCAGTAATGGCTTTTAACATTACCTGGTCATTAAAGCTTTAAGTAATCTTATCGAATTCAGAAGGGTTTTGTATTTGATTTGGCCTTTTAATTTTGTGATCTACGTGAAGAGAAACATTGTAACGTTAATCAAGTAATCAGCGGTCCACAGTTTGCTTAATTAAATGTCAGGGCAGTCTTTACACGCACTGTTAGAACTAACGACGCCGGGTTGCGGAAAGTAAATTGAAAACTGTGTGCTCTGTTCAACCCAATTTATATAATCTCCATTGTCGAACAAATTAAATAGAGGAATTAATGATTACTTTGCTTTTCAATTTTGTTATAACTTATTATATGTTTTTTACAGAAGATCCTTTTTTTTAATGTTGGGTAATGTATTTACACATATCACTAGCATACATATGCAGCTGGTTACGTGAGATTCACCGGCTAGAAAATCAGTACTACCCACTAAAATCCAACAGAACCTCTCCCATCTTAATGGGGCGTCACAGGATCGCGTATGCACTCAACCAAGAAGACCACACAACCAAGGGGTTTCTCCCACAGTCCACTTTGCTATCCAAAAAGTACCTGAATCGCAAAGCGAGGTGGGCCGCCTCCCAACACGTTTCTTGGTTTCGCGCCCGGCTTGGTCGCTGGACGCTAATGTTGACCCCCATCACGACAAGATGAACGGTCGATTTAGTTCAAATTTTGTATTCAATTCAATTTTCTTGTTATTGGCTTCAAAAAATATTGTATTTAAAATATTATAAAAACTTTTTTAAAGTCCGTCAAGCTGTTTTGGATTTATGCGTGTGTTTGCTTTTAATACATCTCAAGCTTGACCTTGTTTTAATTTAATTGTAGGTATAAATTGAGATAGAATAATAAACATAGATTTAAATGTAAAATATCTATTCATAGATTTATATTAATCCCACATGTTACAACGTAGTGAAGCACTGTTGTTTTGTAGATTGTATCGTTATTTTGGTATTAACTAGTGCCTTCAAACTAGTAGGTACAGTTCTAGCCTTTTGGAAGTGACATAGGCTACTATATATTACTCGTATATATACTTACTATAAAATTAAGTAATATGTTTGATACTCCTCGTAGCACTGTAATAACGGAGGAAGATGAAATTTTCCGAGATTATTTGCAAAAAGACATGTCTTTAAAATTAACAAAATGGAACCGACAATTTTAGAGTTGAGGCAGCATTTAAGCAAACGTATAGTATGTCGCAATGTTGGCGGAGACACGATATAATACAACTTCCACAAGACTTTAGTTAATTAATTATGCTTTAAAAATAATGTTTTTTTTTTATAATTTCTCAAAGACTAGATTAACAACTCCAAGTAAATTTCTAAGAAATTAATTAAATTTCTAAGAAATCTATTATTAACTGACACGCCGGCGTGTCCGCGGTCTTGGAGGGATTAAAATATTTCATATTTTATGTAGTGTTTAATACTTGGTGATACACTATATAAATATTTATAAAAAACAAAGTAAAAGCCAGTGTACAGTAAAACTAATTTCATGTTATGTCACAAAATTAAAGTTGAAATAAGTTAAAAATATTGTTTATTTTTATGTTTCGTGTGACTGAGATTACGGAGCTTTAACTAAGTTATTAGGATTATATATTTTATTTTAGCCTTCGTGTTAAATCAGTTTAGTATGTATAAGCTAGGGCAGTATATACATAAGCTACATATTACTGTATTCTAAATTTTATTCAAATTTTGAAACTTACTGACTTTACAATATTAGTATGATTGTACTTACATAATGTTACAAACTCTTCAGAGCTTTTACGAGTATATAACAAGTGGGCTTTCATTTCAAGCGTGCTTTAGAAAGCGAAAAGAGAGTAGTAAGTAAGGTGAAGCACTCTAGCTAAAGGAAAGAAGTAAAGATATTTTTAACACAGGTAAAATTTTATATTAATACCATAGTGTATTAACATAAAATTTAATATTTAATAAAATTTTAAATATTATTAATTTTTGATCACTGTGTATGTATTTATTGTGTGCTTTATTGTTTACCAATTTATTTTTGCGACATAATACTATTGCCACAGTTTAACACTAACACTACTTCGGTGAAAGAAAACAAAACAATTTTTAGCACATGTTAACTTAGCAAGGGCGAACTATCCAGACTCGCTTTTTTCTTTTGGTCTACTCTACGACAAAAGTTTTTTTGTTCTATCTGTTGTTCTATCTGACCTTTTTTACCTAAATATTCGAAATATAATTATAGTTGGAAGCTGGGATCTGATGAAAGCAAAGAATTTTATTAATGCCAAGAGGCTAGAAATTTTAATAATATGTTTTAGTCTATTGTACTAATAATAAGAGCTTATAATTACGTCTATCGGTCAATTTACACATTCCTTTATATTGAATAGAATTGTAGTCGAACTTTGTCGAGAGGTTAAATGCCATTTTTAGAAATAATAATATATGTTTATGTATGAGATAGTTTATGGGTCAGAGAATGTCATAGGCTTCTTATTTTTCCGGTATAATGTGGTGGACATCCGGTATAAGTTGGTTAAGCTTAGCTATTTTGTATAATCTAATAGTAAGCATTTCAAAGTTTATCAATATTCATTCAAATAATTACCACAACGGTTTTTGAAATCTTATACAAATTATAACAAACGTTTTTTCTAAAATTTTCTATCCAACGTTAAAAATTATAACCTATTTTTAAAAGCTTCACTTTTGTCTATAATTCTCATGAAAATATGTCATCTTGTCTAAGTTATGTCATGAGGAGAACAAGGTAACTACGTTCATAATAAACAACTTGTGACAAGCAATCGTTCCTTTGAGATAAGAAAAGCGACGTCACTTCGCATAAAAATGTACAATAACAATTAAATATTTTTATTTGACAACTAGCATTTCCCGCGGCTCCGCCCGCGTTCAGATGACTAAAAACCAAATTCTTAGGTTTAACATAATAGTATTATACTCTTACATTGCAGTTTTTGATTTTTACTCAGAAAGGAGATATTTTCCCGCGGTAAAAAGTATCCTATATGTTGACCAAGATAACCAGCTATCACAATACTAAATTTCATGAAAATCCCTCCAGTGTTTCCAGTTTTTCTATGATGCGGTAACAGACAGACAGACAAAAATTCTAAAAACTATAGATTCGGCCTCTGTATCGATAATAATGTCTATTACAATAAGATTCTCCAAAAAATGTTTAATGTACAGATTCGGCTTTGTTACAATTTTATTATATGTATAGAAGAAAAACTGAGAAAAAAACAACTGCATTAAAGCTAATTAAAAAGATGAAAACAACGAATATACATGTTTCATCCTTGCCGTGAGATGTACACATGTGTCTCTGACTGCATAATACTATATTCCTTCGTCAACTTATTTTTATATTTTTAGTTAGCCTTTATACAGTCGGGTTTTTAATTTTAATAATATTTTTTAAAAAAGCTTTTTAGTTTTTGCCAATTAGAAATTTGAATTTGTATTTAGTATTTTTTTATTCTAAATTACTTTGAAACATATAAGTTATACATACATCCTTTTGTTTCTATTTAATATTCTTCATAATCACAATTTTCCTTCTTACCTTCGTTTCCGGTTCAACCTGCTTCCGACTCCTACACGTTCCAGGCGGCCCTGCATCACATCGATGCTTGAGATACCGACAAGTAACACCAAGTTTTTACAAAACTCTTTCTCGGTACGTGCTGCAGTGTT